GGGCTGGGAGGAAGGAAACGCTTTTTAGCACTCGCTGACACACACAGGTTTTTACTCTGAATTCTGCTGTTCATGAGGTTTCAATCATATTGCCAAAGACAAAACACCAAACAGGCAGAAGTAACTTTACATAAGATAACAGCTATTGGCACAAGAGTTGTTGCACTTTAACGCTATCCAAATGAGTGACTCATACAAGGCTTTCAAATTTAATCAACATAAACCCCTGCTTCAAACTTGCAGTCAGCAGAAAACCTTACATGACCTCTCACACTTTTTACAATCGAGTCTACAGATACCTGTATGTTCTAGAGAACTGTAAAACTGTTTTGCTTTCTGTATCACTTAATGTTGTTGGTCACGTTCCACTACAAGGCAAATCTGCTGTCCCTGCAGACACAGGAGCTACACCACAGATACATAGCTCAGCTTCACAGAGCACTGAAGTGCGAAGAAACTGCAACATCAAAAAATCCTTTACTGCCATTAATTTAAACTCCTGGTGTGGAAGCCTCTTGTCACCTTGCCCAGCTTGGTTAACGCTCTGGGGCTTCCCTTTCCAAATATGAGCAGGAGAGATCAGCAGTTAGAAATAGAAGGAAAGCTTCACATTGAACTTTGCATTAGCATGCACAAAACCCTGGTGTCCTTTCTGAAAGAAAAAAAAAAAAAAAGGCCTAGCTTCCCTATATTCATTTTGGTAAATAGGAAGAACCATCACTTGAGAAAACTATGAAGTTCTTAAGTAATCATGGATTTGTTCCGCAGCTCTTTCTGTTTGTTTTGTGGTTTTATTTCTTTTAAATTTTTGATTTCTTGGGCCTCTAATGATCAGGGACATCTACTTGCATGGAAATGCAAATAAGTGGAAATCTGAATTCACAGTTTCATTTTTCCTCCAATAAAAATCACTTTGATCAGACCCTCTTCCATAAAGGTAATTGTATCAGAAATACTTTGGTAACAAAATCTGAGAATACTACACAAGCAAAAAACCACTTGAAAATCACTGAACCAAATTCAGTATCTGAGATGTATGTGAAAAGTCTTACAAGATTTGAAGTTTCCTGAAACGACATGCAGAAGATGGAAAGAAACTTCACTTGTGAGAGCAAAGCTGCTCCATCTGCACCAACCTGGTTGAGAAATGTGGAAATTCACCAATTTTTTTTTTGTGATTTATTAATTTCAGCAATACACCCAGGCAAAATTCAAATTTTGCTTTAAGTTTGCAGTAGATCAACACACAGTAAAGGTGACTTTAGTGCAAGTTTAAAAACAAGTTATTCAACAGACATATTCCATCTCTAAATTCTCTAAACTGACCCAGGAGCTCTTGTCACAGATTTTTCAAACTCAAGAGCAATGCCTGCAAAACAAACCAGCTCTGCAGGGTAAACTATGCCCACACTTTCAGTAAAAGCCACTTTCTGGGCTGGGAATCAACCAAGCTCTGCCTTCCATCAATAATCAGAACTGCAGCACAACACACAGGAATTCTATGCCTTTCCCTACTGTCTGAAGATGTTTAATGTCACCTCCTCTGTCTGAAAAACATAAACCAGGAACATAAGGGAAATGCCTTTCTACAGCCTAGTTTACACAAATTTCAGTATTATCCATGGTTTATATCAGAATTCCTCAGGTCCTCATGGCCTTGGATAACTGGTATCTGCCTGTATTCCCACCAATCACTGGAAATATAAACTTGCTGCAGCAAAACCAAAACAACCCTAGAGATAGTATTGCAAAATTTGGGTTATTAATTTTTCTATATGAATAGGGAAAAAGAGTCTAATGGATCTTTTGAATTAAGTTCTCTCCATTTAACACATCATTTCTTCAGGAGTTTGTAACAGTCTTTGTTTGGCTTCCCTTCTGCTTCACTTTCACCTCAAATTTGAATATGAGGCTTCAGCATCCTCCCTTAAATTTAGGACTTCTTTCTGCTCCAGTGCTGTGTGACTGAGAAAAGAAGTGCCACAGAAGCAGCACCATAAGTAGCTGTTCTTTCTCTCAGCTGTCAGTGCAGCAATAAATACTTCTTAAATAGATTTGTAAAGTTCAGCCCTTCCAGCTCTTCAAATCTGCAACATCTGCCCCCGAAAGAATTTTTAGGGCACATTAAGTTTATAAATGCATAAGAAATTTTTAAGATAAGACATTTAAACAGGAGGAGAACATCTTAACTCTCCAGGTCATCGCTTGCACATGCATCACTATGACCATCAGGATTGCTAAAAATCTCTTTAAAAACATTCTTCAGGAAAAGATTTCATTATTTTAGCTAACAAACTTTATATTGTTTAGAAACTAGCATGTCACAAGACATTAAAAAGCTTTTCTTTCTCACTATTTCCAGGACAATTAGCACAAAAATAGAGTGGTGTAATCTTGTTTAGCACTTATGAAGAGAAGTCTTTCCATTTTAGGCCATGAATACATGGCTGGGTCTGGAGCAGCTGTGAAAAGCAGAGCAAAAATCTGACAGCGCCTTTAAAGAAAAATTTTTCCCCTCTTATACTGAATAAACCAAAATAAGGTAAAATCGATGGAGCATTGAGACAAGAGCTTTATGCCGTTTCAGTGCCTTTACACAAAGCAAGAGGCAATCAGCTGACTGTTAAGTCTTCCTAGAACTCATTTCACGTTACAACAACTTTCACTCAACATAAACTATATATAAATGCATCAGAGCAGAAGACTAAAGCACTCAGTGGTAAGTCTTAGAAATCATGAAACATCCTAACTTATATTTTTGTTCAGTATTTATTGCATGCTTTATACATTAACAAAACTTCAGTTAACAAATGAAGGAGGCATTTGATGGTGGGAAGGGGGTTGCCAAGTTCCTCTTGTTTGTGGACAAGAGATTGTATCATCCAGCAGAACAAGCTCGCTGTACTGCTGTCAACAGCCACCTCCTGCTCCCCTGCCACAGTGCTGAAAACTTATATTCCCAGTACAGCACCTTGTCTCTAACACCTCATCTCCCTTAAATCTGAAATATGAGAATGAAAACCATCTACCACAGCTGCTTTTGAGAGCAGGAGATCAGGGTAAGTGGGCAGCAAGGGAATACCTGAAGGGCCAAAAAAAAAAAAAAAAACACCAACAAACCCAATCCCCTCAACTGAAGTTGTTGTACTACACCAAAAGTATTTTTATTGTTTACTGTTCACAATCACTGTTGTAAAATTTGAGTAGCAAAAAATTATTACCGGATGTTGTGTCACATTTGATTGTTCCAGTACAAAACCAAGAACCCTGTACATTGACCTAAATATTCAAAGAGCCCATCGTTAAACCCTGTGTTCATAAAAATCACTCTAAAAAGCTGACTCTGACTCACAAGTATCTTCTAGATTTTCTATTTCTAGGTTGCATTTTTGTCTAAAGACATTTACCTAGCTCCTCTTCTGTGGAGTAAGGCAATCATGCTTAGAACGGAGGAAGGATTCCAGCTGAGAGAACTTGCCTGTGCCAAATTAGTAAGATTTCCTTGTAATAGACTTTTGAACAGAAACAAGCTTTTACTCACCAGATTAATCCACTTTCATGATTTTAAAAGACTGCCTAAAGCTAGATGGCCAGTCTGCCATCCCATTTATAGACACTTAATTGCACCCAGTTTTTACTCATTAGAAATTAAGAGAGTTTAATACTTCTGAAATTAGGGCCTTAATAGCTGTTAGAAGTTGCATATTCACTTAGCAAAAAAACAAAAACATCCAGAAGTAGTCTTGGTTTAGACTATTTAAGACACTACACTGAGAACAATGTAAACATGCATCCTGTTTATTCAGCAGGCAAAGACATAGCCATCAGAACTAGAAGGCTCTTTTACACCACCAGGACAATAAGAGCAAGCACTACAGTTCAACCCCAGTACTTGTCTTCCCAGTCTTAATGGTCAGGAAAGCAAAAAAAATGAGAAAAGAGGATTTTTTTTTTTTACTGCAAACATCAGCCAATAAACCCTCAAGTACCACAAAAAGTTACATCACCACACAACATTAAAAAATTTCTGTTTAACTAATATTCCAGAAAAGTTCTATACTGGCAGTTAAATCTTTGTTGATGAAGACAAGCCTTATCCTTTATGAATTTTCCTCCACTGTTAGCCCAAGGGATAAAGACTGATAGAGACACACGTGAACAGGCTGTGCTCAAGACTGTACTTTGTTCTATGCACATACACTGTTATATACACATAGTAGATCCTTATACACATCCTTATGCTTACAGAAACAAAATTATCAGTGACACATTCAGGAGACTTTGGTTTGTTAGGGAACACTAATTAAAAAATGTATTTTTTTCCATTCAGCTCAGACAGCTGACAAACCCTCTAAGGGGCAGGGTGAGCCTTCTTGTTCAATTTCTGATCCGCTCAACACTTTGAAGTACTTACAAAATAAGTGGCAAAAAAGACTTGACATAATCTCTGCATATTGTGAAAAGTAACATAAGGAGTTAATTGGCATTTTCCTACCACATATTTTTAGACCAACATAAAACCGATGTGTTGGATCAGACCCAGAGATCCATTAGCCCAGTTTCCTCTTAGACAGAGCATGTTATTGGAAGCTTTTCCAAGGGTCCTGTAAGGTCT